ACATCACACCGCATCGACACGCAAGATGATAACCTTTCACGACTAGAAGTAGAATTTAATGAGAGATTTCAACAGCATGCCTGAAAATAAATCTATGCCGGTTTGCGTAATTTTATGGTAATTCGAATCTAGGGTTTGTTGTGGATCGATGTATCTACCAGTGGGCCTAGTTACCGACATTCCCAGTTCCATCCTCGACCACTAACTGTCGCTACCGTCGCAAAATTCCCAAGAAACGTTGCCACCTAACACGAACCACCTCCAGTTTTTCAAACTACAAATGAGAAACCAGCTCTGTCGATCGTGAACTTCATTTAGCCAGAAATTACCTTCCGTTGAGTCCTCTCGTTATTTTTGCAACTGGAATTTATATTTAAACAATTTAGGGTGCTATCTTTTTAGAGAAAATTCACCAAAGAGAACAAGTATTAAAGAAAAATACTAAACAGTTTTAGCAAAATACGTAGTCCTTCTTTTTCGAATAGGATTCCCACGGCAATAATCTAGTTTCAGGATCGCGAGGTCACTTCCGGTTTTCGTATCGTTTTCAATTACAAACAGATAATCATTATCGTTCCGTCATAATTTATAAGAACAATGTTGTTCACGACTTCCTGAATCGATTATGACAAATAATTTCAAACTGTATTTTATAATTTCCGATCGTATTTCATAATTTTCTGATTTAATTGTCGTTTAATATAATGAGAATTTTTTGTTTCAGAGAATGTTCATTTGTAGAGAAATAATTGTGGTATGTAATAAGTGATTAAGAAAACATTTTGGAACCCCAGGATTGCGAGTCGGGATTGCCGAGGAGGACTTGTCGCGTCTGTTTGATTGTTCTGGGCGCCTCATTAATATTCCACGTTGTGATTCTTCCTTGTTTTTTTTCGTATAAAAATCGATCTAGGCATGCGAGGAATTCCTGTGATCGTATTGGTCGAGGTTGCAGGGCAGGGCACTCTCATTCAAGAATAAGCGTCGAAATGTGAGCGTATCGTCTAAAAATACTGTCGGTGGGCCGAGGTGCGCCTAGCAACAGAGATTGCATAGAAGCATAACTATAGTGAACGTGCGTGTTTATACGCCGAGGCACAACGAGGACACGAGTTACGGAAAAAAGGAGCCTGGCCGAACGAACGAGCTGCCAGCACGTTTCAAAACGACCGCTTAGACCTCAACAATCGAGTCTCTTTCATTCTTCTTGTTCTTAATTAATGCTCTTCGGGTCGAGCGAAATGTTTATGAAATCCCTCTTTGAGACGGCGCTTAACCATCTCGTGTTATCGCAGATCCAGTCGACAAACTGCACGAAAAATATTGTTAAGCAATATTTTTTATTTCACATCGGTGTTTATGGAGCGGCATTGTTTAGGCGGGTGCAGGATTTTATGGACTGAGCGAAACTGGAATCGAACAAACATTTATTTACTCTTTTGTGGAGCTTGTTGCATGAAAAATGTAATAAACACCTTGTTAGGTTTTATTAAACATTTTATGGTACTCCGATTTATAGTTTCAGAAAGAGATGGCCGATTGCTGTGTTGATATTGTATATTAACACTTTGATTGCCATGTCACTCATATGTTGATGACGGAATTATTTGCTCAATTTTGAAAATTAATTTGTACGCTAATCTATTACATCTTCCTAATTTGATTAGGATCCGCTAAACGTAAGAATTTTGAAAATGTAATTGTTGTCATACAACTGAACTCTTCACTTTTATATTGATTAAATAAAACTTCATTTTTCAATCGATCTTTTTAAAAATAATATATGCATTTTTCGAGATCCAAATGCACTGATTAAATATACGAACAAAAACAGAATTAAGAGCTTTATACTTCTCCTTGTAAAATAAGCATAGATGCACAAACAACTTGACAGCCTTGAAGTCATTTCGATGAAAATCAGTATAAAATAAATTTATTCATCTAATTTACCCAGGTCAAAATGAAATAAAAATTTTACTAGTTGTAACTTCAGTTGATGTAAAACATTTTCGTTGTTTGGCAAAATTAAATGTCTAATAAGTGCAATACTCTGCAGTTCCTACAATAATGATATTAAATTAAACGAAGGCTACGTATGCAGTTGCTTGTACACAGAAATGAAGCTATATAATAAAAAGCTTAAAAAGTCTATTAAATCTAACAATAAACATTTATCGTAGAACCTCTCGTCGAAAACTGAATAACTACTTTCGTCACGAATATTTTCAAAGCGCGTTTCACGACCGCGGATGTTATCAACATGTCCGCGGTCGTAAAGAAAATTTATCCACGGCATTGTACAAAAGCGGGCCGTACCACGGAATACAGAAGAGGTTTTATCCGCATTTCTCTCGGGCCCGAGATCGACCGTGCACACCGATAAACGCTGAAAAGGGCCCCATATTGCAGGGAGACACGTGCACCGCACTTCGAAACGAGAGAGGAACTCTCGAGAGCCAGGGGCCACGTGGCTTCCTGAATGGAAACGAGATTCCTTTTTTTATTACCATTTTCATGGAGCCACCGCGAGAGCTGTATCTCTAACGCGATCGTTATCGAGGTCGAACAAACACAAGAAAAAACGAAAGATGTAACACGACCAGCCTCCCCCCTCAATTACTCTGGGCTGCTTAATCAGTCCGATTTACGACTGCAATTCTTGCATAATTCTCTGACCTCGATTTCGCATCGCGAAGAATTGATCAGTCGAAATAAAACTGAATGCGGCCTTGTGTTCTTTCAGTTGATCATGATCACGCGATACTTTTGCTTTCGAACCACGATCCCTCATTTAGATAACCCTTGCGCTGATATTTTAACAACAATTAATATTAAGAAGCTCCTTTTCATGTTTTACAAAATGCAATAAATTCTCCCCAATTGTCCTTCAGCTTGTAAACAAAAATGGACAATTTAGGAAGAGGAAATACGATCATTTGAGCCTTGCGCCTCGTTTTTAAAATTGTGGACAATCGGCAACTATAAAAACGAAGTGCAAGGCTCGAATAATCGTATCGCCTCTTCTCAAATTATCCATTTTTATTCACAAGATGAAGGATAATTTACTGTATGTATATATGTTCTTAACGTGTTTCTTTACATCAAAGTGGTATTTTATAAGGTCACAGTGCAGACAATAATCAGATAGTCCCTAACTTTCGTTAGATGATTTTAATATTTTGTAAACAATGTATACTGCTTTAAATGAAACATTTTAACAATGAAAATATGCAGCGAAGAGCGATGACAGCGACCGTGTCGATATTTGGACAATTTTATGTTGACTCAAAAGTTGTACAAACAAATATCCCCTGAGGTTTCCAACACCGTGATTACAGTAACTCGACGTCCTCATTTTTGTTTCCGAATTTTTAGCCTTTGTATAATATTTTGTTATGATGACTTGTGTCATTTCGTATTATCACACGATACGATTGATAGTAAAAGAAATAGTATCGTTCTACTGCATCACTATCGAAGAAACGTATGCTTCCACATTACAAATCTACCTGATTTTAAGCAGCAAAAAACATTTACTCGGTAAAAAAAATGTAACCGAAATCTGAAGAGTCGAATCTCCAGAACGCATATTGCAGCGTGTGGGTTAACCCGAGACAAACTTAACAAAAAGGAGTACGTCGAATGCACGATGGCCGGTCGAGAGTTAAAATGTCGCTAAGATATTCGTCGCGAATTAACCGACCAATTAAAAAAATGCAAGCGGTACCTGCATGCACTTTGTATTCATGGCGCGAGACTACTTGCAAATTCGTGGCTGTCGATCGACGACTCTGTGTGCGTTTTCGTGTATATCCAAGGCCCCGAGTCGCTCGTATCGATCGAGCGGCTCGAAACATCGACACAAATTTACCAAATTGATTCCCCCTCTTTCCCTCCCTACGGTCGCGGGGCATTGAAGTCTCCTCTTTTGAAGCCACCGGACCGTTTTTATCCCCCAGGGAAGGACCGTTTTCATCCAGCAGACCGCAACAACCGCGAAGAAAGAAAGGGGAGCGGGGCAAAGTAAAATCGAAATGTAACTTACCGAAGGTAAATACTCTCTGAGAACACCTGCTCCTTCTTCGTCTTCTCCTGGACCGAGTATACACTCTCGAGTTACTCTCACGGTGCGCGCAGCTTCTGTGCACACCTGCACCTGTCTCGGTCTTTTTCCAGGGAACAAATTCTGTATGCTTCTCTTATTCGATCATGAGGGATTTCTAGGAGTTGTGTTCTGTGAGGGAGTTTCGTGGGGCGTGATCTGCTGGAATAAAGGAAACAATATAGTAGTGATGGTAGCAGGATAATTAATGTGCAAGATAGTTGAATGTTAATGGACACAATGGACAATATATTTGGAGGAAGAGATTATGATAATGTAAATTCTGCAAGTGAAGAATAGTGTACGTAGGAGATACAGGTAAACCTTGACTAATAGACAATGTTGTTAACCGTGCCAATTATTAATCTACTGTTTTCTTAAAACTTTTTAAGAATTGTTAACTAACACTAAACTGTGGATCTTTACTACTATCTTTTTTGTTTCATTAATAATTTAAATATATTCAAATTAATGCATCATCATTCTGTTAGTTTCTTTTAATCTCTTCACACTGTTTTAAATCGTATCTACTCATTTTTACCATAAATGATCATCTCTACCAATGACCAAAATCACTTTTACATTTTTTCAAAACCGATTTTGATAAAAAATTAAAAGCGTCTACTGTTTTCATCATTTTTATTCATGATCTTTGACTTCCTCCGTTATTTTGGAAAATGGAGAAGACTGGAGGAAGTCTTATCCCCAAACTATAATAAGTAAACTTCTCAGAACTGAATTTTTAATATATAAAATAGAAAGCTTCTGCTATTTTAATGATCTTTATCCTCAATCTCTACTATGCTATCCTCTTAATAGCTTTTTAAGTCGATTAATTAAATTACCGAGATCTAGCTGTCGGATGTTGGACGCACAAGGCAAAGAACAGACACAGGTGTCTTATAGATAATTCCATTTTTTTTTAATAAACATAGGTATTCACTTATGTAGGTTAGTTCTTTTAGACTCTCTTATGATTATGGTTTATATAATAATATATCGGTCGTTACACATAGAATTCTTACGCGAATACCAACTTGAAGTGAGGCACTGGGTACTTCTAATCTGCCGTTTAAACGATTGCTCTTGCTCACTAACATTCATCCGCACAAACAAACGTCACTAACTGTATTCACACGAACAGACACCCAGGCCGTATGTAGCCTCCTTTCATACACACTCTTTTAGCACTGGGATTTTACATCACGTTTCGGAACGCACATATATATATCTACTTATTACAAATAAGAAGTACGCACTAAGTTTTATGTTTACTGAGATCATACTAATACATCACAGGGTTACATAGACATACGATTTTTTATTCTCTTTTTACTATTTTTTTTGTTTTGTTTGTAAGGCTTCGTTTCGTTTCCGACGGCAGACTCCTTGCTTGCTTCCATGTGTGCGTGTTTGTGTAAGTGTGTACGCGTATGTGCATTGCAGGCTTGACGAGATTCGTTCAACTTTTCTTTTTCACCTCTGCTTTTTTCAAACAGAGGAAGAAAGTATTGAAGTTCGAGCAGTCTGCCGTTCGTCGTCGATTTCCTCAGGAAAAAAAAAACGATGCGCAAAATGATTAAAAGCCGAGTATATGTCGGTGTGTTTATGTTCTTTCGCGTGACTGCTCGATAAATTTTGATACGGTCTGGCTAGATTGCGGATTTTATTTACGATGAAAATGTGATAAAAACGTCAGTTAAATTTAAGAACACTGTCACATTGTTTTCGACTTATTAAAATTGTTAACGCATTACCCATTGCTGCAATAACATTTTTACATGTCTACAGGAGATTTTCCAATGGCTCAGAGAATTTCAATCGTAAATCAACAGGTCAATTCTAACAACATAATCTAGTTCCCTCTGCTTTTCAATTATATTTTAATATAATTCTATAATTTTAATATTCTATAATTTATTTAATATTTTAATACTTTATAATTTTAATATAATTTAATATAATTTTAATATCCTTTTGCTGATGTATATAATTTAATTGCATACATTGCACATAAATTAAGAACTAGTATTTCCCGGAATTGTGAATGTTAACTGTGATCCAATTTAATTCTCAGAACATAAATGCTCCGAACAATGCACAAGAAAATCGCAAGGAAAGATAAATCTCAAGACCGATGCAACAAACTTTCATATCACACAATTATCCGCAATCTAGTTACCCCGAAGCTGCGTCCAGGATATTCGAATTAAAACTGGCGCCGTTATGAAAGCGTCGTGCGGCGTATTATGCGCCGACTGCGGGGCCAATTAACGCACAGCGCGATTCACACCACGGTGCATCGCGTTGCAGCGCGTGCCGAACAAATTTAGTCAATTGTTGTAAAGCGACGAGCACATACAGTATTCGCGACGTGATCGAACTACAGGACAACCGATTAATTACCGCCTCCTAAAATCGCGACTCGCGAATCAAGACGAACAGCGCAATTGAACTTCCAAGCACCAAGACGAACGAAAAAGAGCAACGACCATTCGGAATTCCTCTAAACGAATCGATTGTTCTACCCGCAACGAAACGGGACAAAAATAGCATTGTAACCACCAGTCGTATTTTCGAATTATAATCTCAAAACGGGGGGGTAGAAAAGACTGACAGAAGTCTGTACCGAGGAGCAAGGTACGAGGTAGAGAGAGAGAGAGAGAGAGAGAGAAGGAAAGAGAGAGAGTGGAAGGGCTCGACTTCTACCTTTATATGATCATTAAAACAATAATTATAAAATAAATATACAATTCAAAAATATACAATTAAATTTACATAAATTGCCACCTGGAAAAGATTGGCAGAAGGTAGTTTTTAGTTTCTCCCAAATAAAAATAGTGAGCTGCATCGTTCCACTTTCTCTCTGTCTCTCTTGCTTTTGCCCTCTCGAAAATTCGTTTAGTCGAGACCGTTCAAAGGTTTTCTACGATTTGTACTTGGAAGGGACACGCCAAAAGTTGACACCTGTAACGTTCCCCTTACCTATTTTGCGAACCCAGTATCTCTCGTCCTCTAATTAATACCTTCGCGAACGGGACGAACAGACTTTTGTGGAGAGCCTCGAACGGTGCTCCTAAACGTTGCCACCGATGTGTTGATCGTAAAACGCTAAAAGGAGGGAGATGCATCGCAGGACAGGAAATGCAGTTCGATGGAAGAGCGACGCGAGGATCTCGTTGATCAACGTGAAACTACAAAAATTCGTTTTTGTATAATTCATGGTTTTCGCACACGATAAAATAACGGCATCCTCGCGAAGCGTCGGTGCACTATTTACAAGGAGTGAAAAATGTGGGGTAAGAGAGGAGAGGGAGCCGAATACGAAGGTCCCCCCTACGACGGGACGCAAAAAGAATTAAGAAAAGTAATTAAATCGCGGGGTGATTTGGCATCGGCTGTACTTTCTTAAAGTCGTACAGGAGATCAATGCTTAAACATGGGTAACCAGCTACGTATCTAAATCATATCTCTCTCTCCCCGTCGAGCTTTCGGGAGTGGTCACCTGTGTGCCCCGGAAACGATGTCCCTTAGTCTTCGAACGTGTCAAATTTCTAGTCAAATTGGTCGCTTTGTTTTAATTCTTAGCGAAGAAAGAATACTATTGTCTTGTGATTTCGCGATCGTCTCGAGGACTCGGTCTGTCGACACCACCGCGAAACCAGTCATGGCTTTTTGTATGTGGTCCGCGGGTCCTTAGCAAGGAGTACTCGTCGCTGAAGACCCACGAGTCAAATTGGGACCCTCGGTTTCCGGTGCCCGGTGGACCAAGCCCGAACACCGACCTTCTCCGTATCTATGCTTTGAAATGCACTTTCCACTTAGCGGCTAGAAGGCTTAGAATCTACGTGTACCGTATCCTAAAAATATTTATATAATTTGTTCTCTGCTTACACTCTGTCTCTGACGGAGAAAGCGTTCGTTTATTCTATATCATCATCGTCGTCATTCATCCCAGCATTGTTTCACTCATTGGACTCGAACGAACAAATATATTACATTAATTTCATTAAATCGTTACTTACACACACACACTCTCTTCCACTCTTCTTCTTTCTCCTGGACAAATATATATATATATATATTTATTATGCGCATCATTACTTGGTGCCTAAACCTACTGCAAAAGACACGATGAATTACATGTACATATATAAAATAAAAAAAAGTAGAGAAAAGGAAAAAGAAAATAGCAACAACCATCGACGCTTTTCACCACAGTTGTTACTATTTTTTTCATTTCCGCGGCATGGCTACGAAAAATATAATCTGTGTGTATATGTCATCGTGTGGTGTGCGCATGTGCGTGTATGCGTGTGCGCGCTTGTATGTATAATGTGTACGCTGCGACGAAAAACGGAGCGACTTTTTTCTTCACTGGCCACCGTTTTCCGTCCACATATTCATGGCCGATAAATCTATATGTGAATGGCACAGCCAACGGACCTCGCGCCTCCTGCCAGAGCTCGCCCTCTGCCTTTCTCTCGGTTCCTCCTTGGCAGTGATCGGTTGCGGTTGCTTCTCAGCTTGCTCCGTGTTCCCGTGGCCTCTCTCGCGCGATGGAACAGATGGAAGAAGGACAGCGAGGCTGAAGGAGGAAGCTCGGAAGACTCCTTAGCTGCGTATCTGACCCGCGTTGCGGGCCATTTTCTCCGGCGGCTCTATCATGCTCTTCGCGCTACCGTTTAGGCTACGTTTACGACTCTTCATGAAGTCTGAAACCATACAATAACCAAACATGTTTAGAAATTACGTCCGACGTTAACAATTTACGAGCGGATTTGCTAAGCGTTTTGGGAACCGCTGTATCGAATGCTGTATTTGAGATAAGTTCTGTTTTTGTTTTTAAAATAAAGGACATCTTGCTTTGTTCTGCTTTCAATGGTGGAATTTTTAATTAGAATTTTATTGATATTGCAGTCTTTTTAAATTAATAGAAATTCTTCTTTATTATATTTTCTATAGCGATACTTAAAATCACTTTATTCCTATAGAAACTGTTAGGAAACAATGATATGCAAATGGTTCTACAATCTTCAAAATAAAAACCATGCGAGACAAATCCGCAAAAAGTATTGACAACTTTTTAAAATTCATAGCAATTCTTCTCTATACCATATTTGATTTGGAATAGAGGGGGAACACTTTATAAGATAGAATATTTTTGAATTAATGCTGCTTTAAATGACGATGCGGGAGATCCATTTTGACCCAGATTTTCAAAAGTATCATCTAGCTAATCTCAGCCTCTTATTACTTATCTAAATTATATATATATTTTTATTATGTACATATTATACAGACGAAAAGATATTTCAAAAATTTATCTAGATATGTCTAGATAACTCAATACATTGTCAACCATATAATTTTCCAAAGCATCAGCTTTCTGAAGCTTAATATAAATGGTAGATTAATAATTGAAGGTTGATAGATGAGATAGTTAGTAAATGATACTTAATGGTAGAAACTGAAGTAACTCTTTATGCAAATGTTATTAAAATATTGTTTAAATATTATTGAAATCTACAGTTTACGAACTTGTTGATCATCACGGATTCTGTTGGTACATAAAGCCACTGAGTAAAAAAAGAGTCAACGTCGCCGACGCATGCAGTATTATAAAATTCGACTTCGTGCATCTTCGTCGATAACCTCGAGAGAACTTGACTCACCATGGCAGATGCGAATTGTATTTTATCGGTGGCAGATACGAAATGGAGCCCCGCTAAGCTCTGTGGATAATTGAAACGTGCTCCCCGGAGGCTCGCTATAATTTTCTCCGGTTTAATATGCGAGACGTTGTTTGCGGATCTTTTAATGAGTCACGATAGAGGAAGCTTGCACAAAAACACGGCCTACGCCGGCTGATACTCGTGAATCATGACTCACGTTGCATTCAATTCTACACCATCGCGGAGAACCCCCTTGACATGTCCTCCCTCTACGAACATTTGGCGAATTTTCCACGGGAAAAATGCATAGTTTTCGGCGCATCTGTCTCTCGATTTCCCGACCTAGCCCTCTGCTGTTTCTAAGCTTTCGATTGCCACGGCACGCGACACGAATTATGGCGATTGCTGGGACAGCTGTGCGTCAACGGTCGTGACCCCTTCTCTAATCTCCTCGAGTCGTTAATCAAACAAAACGAGAAAGAAAATAGGAATTGCCATCACTAATCGCGACCCTGATATCTGCTCTAATTTTTGTCTCAAACAAAAATTTTCGAGAAATCGAACTCGTTAATGATTTTCGATTACTCGATTATACTGGCTTTCGGGAGTAGTAGAATTAATCGAAGATGGTCGCCTAGTGCTCTCTGATATTCTCGAGTCGTTAAACAAAAAAACGAAAAACAAAGTATACATTACTGGTACCAATCAAGACGCTGATATCTGCTTCAACTTTCTGTTTCCAATCAAGATATTTTATTACAATTATTTCTCTTATTTCAGTAGCAGTTCTACAGCAGAGGTCAAATCAAATATGGCCGCTGAGCACCCTTCAATTTTCTCGAAACTTTAATCAGAGAAAACGAAGAAGAAAATGGGACATACTGGTACTATTTCAAACTGTTTCACAATCGGATACAAATATTTTGGTTGTTTCCGTTCTTCCACCAGTAGGAGATAAATCAAAGATGGCCACCCAATTATAAAATTCTCAGACATCCTCTCAAACGAAATATTCGACTAATGTATTCGATTGATATCTATGGGCCGAATCTACCTACATGATTCACCGATGACTGTGTAGACTCTCGTGTCCCTTTAGCGTCCCGTACTACCCTTTGGTCGATCAACGGGCTCCGCAACGGCCAAGGTACTGAACTTGTTCGCGGAATAGTCGCGTGCAATTTAAATACCTGGTTCTTGCACGCACATGCGGGTCAGAGTACGGTACCGGTGAGCAATCCCGATTTTAAATACCGATCGAGAACCCCGGGGTCCCATCCACCGTGGTTGTTTCGGGGGATGCACGAATATGAGCACAGCTGATACCCCCATGCGAGCAGGAGGCGCAGAGGCTCACGGTAAGGTCGCACGCGTGAACAAAAGCCGATGACCGAAGGGGGAATCGGTAGAACGGGGGTGCGGAACAACCCCATATGGACGCACAGCTGACCGCGTGGCTCATTAATAACGTACGTTACGAAAATCAGTCGCCCCCATAGCACTCGGTGAAAGGTACGTTACGAGTCTCGTTCCTCCCGTATACTCGAAACCGGCGAGCAAAGGGTGCAAACCGAGGGGTGGATCGGGAGATCGAAACGCGTCGTATTGATCCTGGTTTATCAAGCCGCGATACTATCGTGAAATAATAACGGTTCCTGTCACGTTGCGCACGCGACTCAAAGTTGATCTGTAAAATCCACGGAGAAGCTTATTAATCGTACGCAATTTAATGAGAGTCGTTATATCTGTTCTTAACATAATCAACTAAAAATTAATTAATGTAACAATTTTTTCTGGAGAACTCTTTGGTCAAATGGAAAATCCAAAATTGTCTGCGGTAATTGTAAGAGGTGGTAAATGGAAATTCGTTTGCTACTCTAATAATTTGAATAAACTGAAGATGATTGTTAGAATTATATATATATATATATATATATATATATATATATATATATATATTTATACAGTCTACTGATAATTATTTCATCCGTATTAACGTAACTACATGAAAATTTAGAAGTACTGTACGCAGAATTCAAATGAAATCCATCTGTTAATTGAATTGTTTATTACATTTGTGGGGTCCACATAAGGATTACTACTACTACTAGGTACTCAGAAACCAATCTTAGAGAGTAGATCTACTATCTAATCTAACTATCTAATCTAGTAGAGTCTTTGATGGATTTAGAAACAAGGACTTTTCATATGAACCTGAAAGTATCGTCTTTTATCAAGTTTATCTTATAGGGACTAACTTTTCAATCATTAGACTGTAGTACCCGTGTCAGAAAGTTCTGCANTGGGACATACTGGTACTATTTCAAACTGTTTCACAATCGGATACAAATATTTTGGTTGTTTCCGTTCTTCCACCAGTAGGAGATAAATCAAAGATGGCCACCCAATTATAAAATTCTCAGACATCCTCTCAAACGAAATATTCGACTAATGTATTCGATTGATATCTATGGGCCGAATCTACCTACATGATTCACCGATGACTGTGTAGACTCTCGTGTCCCTTTAGCGTCCCGTACTACCCTTTGGTCGATCAACGGGCTCCGCAACGGCCAAGGTACTGAACTTGTTCGCGGAATAGTCGCGTGCAATTTAAATACCTGGTTCTTGCACGCACATGCGGGTCAGAGTACGGTACCGGTGAGCAATCCCGATTTTAAATACCGATCGAGAACCCCGGGGTCCCATCCACCGTGGTTGTTTCGGGGGATGCACGAATATGAGCACAGCTGATACCCCCATGCGAGCAGGAGGCGCAGAGGCTCACGGTAAGGTCGCACGCGTGAACAAAAGCCGATGACCGAAGGGGGAATCGGTAGAACGGGGGTGCGGAACAACCCCATATGGACGCACAGCTGACCGCGTGGCTCATTAATAACGTACGTTACGAAAATCAGTCGCCCCCATAGCACTCGGTGAAAGGTACGTTACGAGTCTCGTTCCTCCCGTATACTCGAAACCGGCGAGCAAAGGGTGCAAACCGAGGGGTGGATCGGGAGATCGAAACGCGTCGTATTGATCCTGGTTTATCAAGCCGCGATACTATCGTGAAATAATAACGGTTCCTGTCACGTTGCGCACGCGACTCAAAGTTGATCTGTAAAATCCACGGAGAAGCTTATTAATCGTACGCAATTTAATGAGAGTCGTTATATCTGTTCTTAACATAATCAACTAAAAATTAATTAATGTAACAATTTTTTCTGGAGAACTCTTTGGTCAAATGGAAAATCCAAAATTGTCTGCGGTAATTGTAAGAGGTGGTAAATGGAAATTCGTTTGCTACTCTAATAATTTGAATAAACTGAAGATGATTGTTAGAATTATATATATATATATATATATATATATATATATATATATATATATATTTATACAGTCTACTGATAATTATTTCATCCGTATTAACGTAACTACATGAAAATTTAGAAGTACTGTACGCAGAATTCAAATGAAATCCATCTGTTAATTGAATTGTTTATTACATTTGTGGGGTCCACATAAGGATTACTACTACTACTAGGTACTCAGAAACCAATCTTAGAGAGTAGATCTACTATCTAATCTAACTATCTAATCTAGTAGAGTCTTTGATGGATTTAGAAACAAGGACTTTTCATATGAACCTGAAAGTATCGTCTTTTATCAAGTTTATCTTATAGGGACTAACTTTTCAATCATTAGACTGTAGTACCCGTGTCAGAAAGTTCTGCAATTAACAACACTTCCCGAAATATTGAAAATAAATGATACCATGGATTCAGCACCTAGCCATCATACAAAATCATCAAAAACATCCCCTTCGAGCTCTACCCAACTGTGTCGAGCAACTAGAGCTTTCGAAAAGTCAAATTAGAATAACGACTTCCAATTTAAACCGAACCCCATATGTCCACCAGAGCTTATCATGTTCTCCATCGAGCAACCAAGTGTTAACGTTCGTTCTTCGCCAATTTAACGAGTCTTTTGTAATTTCGCCCTGCACGAAATCAATTGCACCCCACGGGACGCGATGGATACCGAAAATATACAAGATCTTAACGGATTTCAACCAGAAAAAGTGTATCGCAGCGGTGGATACAATGTGACGGATAAACAAAAGAGCGTCTCGTGCTTCTACGGCGCAAAATATGTTTACGGTCCACGTAGATGCACGGCGTGCGGGACACATGACGAGTCACGGCCAGAAATAGTGGCGTCGCGTGGGTGGTGTGCAGGGACCGACTAATAAATAGGCGAAAAAAGGGGAAGTAGACGGCGAGGTACCATCCGAACAAAATGGCGATGCGCGGAAGACCTCTTCTTGCGCGTGGCTATACTCGGCACAAAAGAGTTGGCGAGGGTAAACAGAACCTGCTTCTTCTGCTGACACTTTAACTACCGGGACTCTTCGCTAGGACTCTGATCCCAACGTGATTTGGTATTTTTCTTCAGATAGATTTGATATTTTCATAGAGTTGAACTATTCTACCTAATGTATATGCAATAACCAGACCTCATGCATACACAGCAAAAATGAGCCGACGAAATTTAACCTGTTTGCTTAATTTTTCTTGATTGAAACAATTCCATTGAGAAAAGCTCAGAAGTTAGCTTGATTATCACAAAAGGAAACAGAAAAACAAATTAACAGTGTGATAAACTATTGGACAATTTATTAGAACATTCTCTATTATTTACCCTTGATTTTCGAACAACCATGAAGTCAACATCGGTAATCAAAGCGTTAATTATCTGCAGACTACAAGTCCGCCTTTTAAAAGTTTCATAACAGTCTCAATAAGATCCTCCAGCGACTATACATAGCTCGCGAGCTCGAGACGATCATTAGGCGAATTGTGCATAATATTTATCGTTATGTCACATATATTTACGCATGGTATATTATTATCACCGATGCGATATACGATGATACTTATCCCGGCTAAAAATACGTTGAACTTTATTTGTGAAGCTTATCGGCGTCTATGAGCGTACGATAGTTTTTATCTATGTCTGCGGAAATATTCCTTTTATTGCTCGGAGGACATTCGCCCGGCGATTGATCCAAATTCGCCGAGAACCGAGATAGAACGAGGATTGACCACGCGAAATCGTGAACGCCGACTTGTGCAGTTCCCAGTGTTTTTATCAGGTGTTTACGTAATTACGTAAATCGCGTAGACCTTGCCTGCCGGTCGTCGAATTAGATTGACCTAGGCTATACGAACATCTCGTATAAGTAATTCCCAGTCAGTCAATTAACTGCGATAATCGTTTAATCGAACGGAATAATTCAGGAAATCTCTCTCTCTCTCTTCTGCTGGCTAATTATGCAATCGTTTTCTGTTGTAATGCCGACCAAGAGAGATTAAAACCGTGTTTTACGGCACCGAATGCGAAAAAAACAACGCTCGTTGCGCTCTACAAAAAGTGCTCTGGAGAAACAAACACCGCGATACATCGAAACAAACATTGCGATTATTTGAAGAGACTGATATCTCGATATCATTTTTTTCACGAAAACATAAAAGACAAAGAACACGCGAATAATATGCAGTTCGCGTGTAATAGACGATTATCTCGGCGGTAAACTTGAAACAAGAGAAGGGAAACGAAGCGTGGGAAGCTGGAGCGCTTTTAATTCGCTGCGGCTTATTAACGCTTCTATTTCGTAGTTTCTTTTTTATGTTTACGAGAGATTCGAGCTAAAGATTATTTAATTTTCAAGGTAAATATATTAAAAATCTCTAAGCATCGAGTAGTGTGCACTTTGCAAGCACAATGTGTGTGCTTACAATTGTAAATTTCGCGCCTAAATCGGTGCACCGGCTTTGGTTTCCGAATTTGAACGCAGTGGTTCTCAGTTCGATGATCAATTCACGCAACTTACGCGTCGTCGTATTTTCAAATGAACAGGAGAACCCCATCCCCCTCTAGTTACAAAATATCATCAAAAACAGTCCCGGGTGCAGCGGACAGTTAACTCGCGTTAATAAATAATTAAGCTTATCAACCTCGAGACTAACCGTCCAATCAAAACAAGCGGTTCATTCAATGAAGAAACAGTCGGTTCCATTAAAAATACACGGTGAAAGGGGGCAGGGAGTCAACCGCTTTTTCGCAAGTATACTGACGCCTTCTGTGATTGGTCCTTCCCACTATCTTTGCAAATGTGATCGGATTAATTCAAAGTTCAAATTTTATCTAGCGATTCTAACTGTTTCATTACTCTTATCGATAACTATTGTGCAACGGATTTTCTATTTAATGAGAAGTCATTGGCTCATGATGTTTAAAAAGTATTTCATTTCTTGTTAGACTATTTTCGTTAACTGTCCAGCTATATTTTGTTTCAGAATTATTTAAGCCATGAAACATTTATAAAGTCTGTAGAAAGACTTAATGGATACTGGAACGTAAAGAAGAAATTAACCCCCGTAACATTTTCCGGAGGATTGCATATATGATTATTCGTGGCTGAACATATTCGCATACTTTTATTTCAATTTTCCTAGATATATATTTTCGAATGTATACATCCCTAAGATAAATCGATTATTTTATTAGTCTCAACGTAAATAAGTTTTCAAATAAATGGGTCAAAAAATGAAACTCCTGTTCGCAGATTAAAGTTAGTTCAGCAGAGTACTTAACATTTAAGTGAACCAGTATTCAAATTTATGCTGGCCGTTACTTAACACGATTGATGTAGCTACTCCCTCACATGTTTAACGTTCACTTACCAATTCGGTAAAAACGAATATGAACTATCCGTTGACTACCTAGGTCGTTTATGTCGAGAGCAAAATATCACTGTTCAAGTTCGTGGAATATTTATCCGTTCTGTTCAATTAATTCCTAGAACGTTTGACTGAATCAACGTTAATATATTAAAGCAGAAACTTCGATAAGTATTTTAGAATTTATTTCCATTTGTCGAAAGCCGAGAAAGAATAGTAAAAAGAAATTAGTCCTAATCATAAACGTGGGTTAAAAACACCAAATAATTAAATTTTATTCCCTAAGTCCATTATGAAAGCTCACTTATAAGTTAAACGGTTCAGACATTTCAATATTTGTATCACCGATTATAGGCGCATTGCACACGTGTTCGCGCGACCAGTTCCATTTCCAACGTACAATGGCAATTACGAGATAAAGAACGGCAAAACAAAAAATGAAATAAGAAACGGGAAAACGTTTATCGCTTACCGGTTATGGAGGACTGTTTCCTCGTCGTGGATAAAATGGGGGTAGTGGGTTCGACGATGTACACCTTCTTCTCCGCCTCTAGGTCGAATATTTCGTTCATGGTGACCTCGCCGATTTGCGGTACCCTTGGTTCTTGAGGTGGCGTTCTTTCCGCCTTTTGAAGGATCGGAGTGGTTGCCGGGGACTCTTTACGATGGAATTTTACCGTCGGCGAGGAATCGTTCGCTTTTCGAGGTGTACCGGGCGCATGTTTCCTTAAGTAGGGCATGCCACGCAGGGCGTAGGGCTCTGGGACCACGTCCTGCGATGTTACCAGCTCCCACTCGTACCTCGAATTCGCCCGCGGTATCTCCAAGTGAAAGTCGAATCCCCATCTCTCGGCGTCGAGCATGGATTGAGCGCGAAGCTCCCGCTCGGCGAGCGCACGGGCTGCAGCGTGATCGACGGGTCCGAATAGATCCCTTCGAACGCGGGCGAGGGCTGCTCTGCTCGGCGCCGTTCGTCCTCCACCCAGATTCCTACTCATTTCCGTCATCATCGCCGGATTCAATACTCGTGCGCTCATATTTCGTTCTTCTGTCGTGCCGGCAACGTCGCCGTTCCCTTTACGTAGTTATGTACCAACGAATATACTCCTTCCTTTTCTCTCTTCTTTTCGCAGTAACGACGCCTCTCTATCCAACGCGAGTCGTTCGTGCCTCAATGTTTTTGGAACGCGATCTCTACTTGCTAGCACCACTTTTGTTTGCGAGTCTCTCTTTCTCTCTCTCTCTCTCTCGTTCTCACTGCACAAGGTTACCGACTACCGTAGTTTATGCATCTATTTCAAAGCGTTCACACGTGTCCCATTTACGGAGATTCTTCCAGGAATCCTGCACGGGAACACCGACTGTACTCCCGAGAGAGATGTGGCAACGCCGCCGTGGCGCGATCCACCGAATTTCGAATAATGGCCGTGCCACAGCTTCGCCTCGCGACTACGCTGATCGTTGACTCCTTGCTCGACACACTCCGCGACTGTTGACAGTCGCACACCCGCGCAACGATCAGTTTTGAAACGACCAAGGCGAGAACTGTGACGAACAAGACGACAAGAAAGTCTGGCAACACGGTGAACACTGTACTGCGTATATACCACGGCTGAGAAAGCGAGAAAGACGATATATCAAAACAGCAACACTATCTCATATTTCCACGAATATGCCGGTACCGTTCGATGTTTTGTAAACTCGGAACAGCATCCAGTGGACAATCATGAAGTCGAATCAACACTTTCCTCTTGGTTTCTCTCAGAAATCCACCGCATAGCCCGCGGGTAGAACACAAGCCGGCAACGTCGCGCGCACTTGCGCGTGAGCCTCCCAACGACGAGGAGGAGTGTGTTTCGACGTGTTCCCGCGAAGATTACGACGGTGTTATTCAAATTTGAAATCGGTCACGTAACCCAGCGTGCCGACTCCGTAATTGTCCCGACCGGCCGAGATAAAGCACACAGACGATAACACGGTCGGTCCTCGTTATCCGGCACAAGAAAATCCCACGGAAAACGTTAATATTGCACACGGCCCGCAACCATCAATATGCTGTACGGCTGGCACACCGTGGCACCACTGGTTCGACTCGAACGCCACGTAAAATCCAAAGATGATCGTGTACCACCGTTCCCGCCAAACACACGACTGTCAAGACACGCGCGTGGTTCCAAGTTCGGCGGAAGGTCGAACACGATTGCGCAGTTATGTTGACGCTCGTCGAGGTGCGTGCGTGCTATGTAACTGGAAGAGTTGCGCGAAGGCACGTCCCACACATGAAAAGCGCTCTCTAGCGACTGAAGCGAGCGCCTCTCGTTGCAGAGAACCAAGCCTCTCGAGTGCCTCGGCTATTTTCGGTTATCCTCGACGATCCTCGGCTAATTCGGTGTCGCCCTCGCTTCCCTCCCCGACGACCAGACGCCGCGCCGTTCGACGAAGAAACGAATGTAACCGCCATTCGGAGAGTATAGTCCCTTCGACCTGAGCGCAGCGATTCGCCTGTTCGAAAATACGCACGACGAAGAGCTTGTACAGTTATTGGCCCCTTCTCCGCGGCAACATAAACGAGCAGAATGCTGATTGTAGCCATTGGACGTGTCCCGGTATCCCAAGCTCCCTGGTAAATACCCTCCAACTTTATTTTTCTGCCGCGGGGTTACCCCTTTGAAAAGCTAATGGAAACCGATTGGTCTTGATTTTGCCCATTCCCTCTTTCAGTATCACGAATAATTGTGGTAATAATAATATAATCCCGATTAAGAAGGAATAGATTGAATACAATCTCCTCCTTATTTCGAATTTTTGACAATATTCCGAACGTTTGATCGGTGGCTTGGTATTTCTTCAAACGCTGCTTAATGGTGGATGCAATTTGATCGACAAAAAAGCGAAAACATTCGGCGAGTTGACAGAGAGGCGAAAAATAAACAAGTCCAGCTTTCAAAACAGCGGTTGTAATCTTATCGCGGACACTCGTACGTGCGTTTATTCGGCGGATTTCCATGTTTGTGTGGCAATACGTTGCGCACAGTGAATTTATTTGCATACTGTTCAGATTATCGTTGATATTTTATTTTGACCGACAAAAGCCACTTTAGTTGAAACATTGCAGTAGGAATTATGGCATCGAGGAAAGGAGCATTTTTCCTTGAAATCTCATCCTCGCCAGAATTTAACCCTTTCACCTCGAAATCGAATTTTTAATCGAACTCGAAATCATTTCATAACCGAAAAAGACGATGTAGTACGTATTGCTACGACATTTAAATTTTTATTGATTCAAGTAATGTACAAGGATTTAATAATTTATTCCATTTCATTTCATTTGATTCTCATTTATTGATCGCTAAAATCTTTTAATTCAACAGAAGTTAAGTACGCAGGGAAAAACAAAATAAAAATTATGCAAAAGAAAATATCGCTTATAAAGGTTAATAAAATGTTTATTATACAATGTGTTACAACACACGATAGTTTTTGTTATTAAGTAAGAAATAAAATTTTCGAGAGCAACTTTGAATATACCAAATAGTACAACTCGTTTTAAGTGGTACCTGAACCATTGAAGGTCCGAATTTCTGATTTGTTTCCCGCTATCGCAGTATCATTTATTTGACAAAACTTTATCTGGATTACTACACAGATCTATTCTTCTTATTTACATAATCCGGTGATAGGTGTATCGCGTGTAGGGTGTACGCGTGTACGATTACAATTTTCGTGGGAATTGTGCGAATGCTTAAACCTTTGGGTTGGATCAGCAATACAAATGAGGCTCGTCGAACAACAGATGTCCGTTGAAACGCGGCTAGGAAAGATACGGGATTAACGAGGCGAATCGACACTTTTCATTGATAATTGTCAATTTACTTGCCCGCTGTTCTCGTGGCCCGAATCGTTTGTATCTTATGCGGACGAAGGAGAAACGGTGTTATGTCGCGGCGAGCAGACCGTACACGACGGTCGCCTCGGCCAATCGTAGCTAGCGTTCGCTGTTTTGGTTGGTGCATGTCCGCTCGATGCAGCATGGCCGACCAAATAGCGCCGCCGCGGTCGCGCGGGAAATTTCAAACGTTCAAATCTCGTAGATTCAACTAAAACGCTCGTACGAGAAATGTGCCAAACTACGTATTACTAAAACATGCACCACCGCTCTAATCTTTTCCTAAACGTTTAGACAAACACGTTCCAAGCATTCCATTTGATTTTTTGTTTCTGTCCTCTCAAGAAATATTTCTGCCATTGTGTTGGACGGTAGAAAAGGGAAAGGTAAAAATAGAGATGCAGCTGAATGGGGCGTAAAAGATGATCATCGTAGGGTCAAATTCTCATGAGAGGACTGCAAAGCGTGTCGCCGGGAATGAAAATCCCACGCAACATCCAGGAAGTGGTGAGGGTGGCACCGGATGCATCTCAATGAGGGGAGAACGAGCGAATGAGTCGCGTAAAACAATCCTTTTTGCGTTTCGCTGAGACTGCCGTCTTCTCTCTTTCATCTGTGGTTAGGTGGGGTACCCGTTTAGCAAGGTATTTCGTTGCACAGGTGTTCTCTCATGGCTCCGACGCGACGTGGACGAAGGATGGAAAATAAACACCGTTCCTGCCCTCCTTTCTACCGGCGTAGCGTCTCCCGACTTGTATCTCCCGTCCTAGATTATTTCTCGAAGGAAGCCCCGTGTTTATATGTCCCGAATAGACGACGACGACGATCACAGCCGGAAGTCGCGTGGCAGCATCTGCATCGTCTGTTTACCAGCCGAGGGGACACCTGTTCCATCAGTAGGAGAATTTCGCTATCAAAACCGGGTTTACCGTAACACGTTATCTTGTCGCGTGCACGCCGCCATAGAGGACATGATAAATCATCTTTATCGAGACCAAGATGGTGGACCGGGCACAGATAATGCTTTTGTTTTTCAAAAGCTCCGCTCAGAAGGTGGACTGGGGATTTTTATGCAAAATACAATAAACTAGAATGCGTTTCTTCTTTTAATCACTTTGATAAATCGGAAATAATATGACAGTGTACTTGAACTCTTTTAATGACCGATAAATGAACTGGAGTTGTTGGTCGACTTAATGGTCGTCGATAAAATAAATTGTATGGATTCAACGAGATTAAGGAGAACCAATTCTTAACAGGGGAACGCAACGAAGTGGTACACGCTGATTTTGATGAAACTTTGAGAAAAGGTAGTTCTTAGAAAACTATTCAACGCATATTTTTTTTATAGATTCTCGTTCGCATTGAAGGGGCGAGAACAGCCCCTAAAGCTGGGGGTCGGAACTATATTTGATCGAATATCTCAGAATCTATTAGAGTTAGAAGGATGGTGAAAATTGCAAAGTTCTGTATTTTTTAATACGGAATTTAGCTGCGCAACCCGATTTTCAATATCTTAACTTGTTTAAAACATATATTAAAAAGTTACACATTTTGTTTACTTTACCGATTCAAATGTTAATCCATTGTCTGGAATATTTGTGTGTGAAAAGTGTACACCCAACTGCAAAATACGGATAAAATAGAATTTTGATTTTTGCTTGGATGCGAATAATTAAATAAGTAGAAAATGTTCGTGATACTTCGTTAATTATTTAATTTGGAATGTTCATAAAAAATCGGCACGTATCGCTTCGATACGATCCCTTGCAGGTCATCAAAACCAGTAGATATCACGCCAGTAGGATTCACGGAAGAGAAAGTTTATCAAACACGAAATTAGCGATGCAATAGATTCGGATGCGATATCTGCGGTGAATTGTTTTATCAAACGCGATAGATAGTGTCGATTAATCGTTGGGATTGTACTGGCCACGAGGTCGTTGATTAACGATCCGTGGTTCATGAAATTCCTTGCTTGGGGGCATTGTTCGCTGGCGGGCCAGAACAATGAAGGTGGCGCGCGTTCTACGCGAACACATCTTTTGTCGTCGTCGGGATTGTGCCCACTTCCGTGGGAATTCGCGGAACGGAAGTGCAATTTCTGGCAATGGGTACGCCGGCGTCGTCGTGGCCAGCTTCCATGGCGCGAAGAAAAAACCGATTCTTAAGAGACGATGCCAGGTGCACCGGTTTTACCTTCTCACGAGACGTCCAGATTAATTTTTAAGAAATCCTGATACTCGTGGAATCGGGGTCCCCCTTCTTTCTCGGGTGTGAATGCACTTGTGCAGCCTGGCTCGAGAGTCGCGAATCATTTTCACCAGGAGAACTATCTCGTTTCTCGTCGACGAGAAATTTGCATGATTCCGAGGCCGCGAACGAACAATTGTTCAATTAGAGTGGTTAGCGTTTAGTCACGGCGCGAGCCATCTTCCGAGAAGGGAAATATTTGCGTCTCCTTGGAGGATGCGTTAAACAGATGTGTCATCTCGTTCGGCTCTTTAGAAAATTGGGTCGCGCATAACTCGACTACCATATGCCCCGCGCCGTGAACAATCCTTCCCCGTTAATATCGTGTTACAGCTGCTTCGTGTCGTCAAGAAACGGAGAAGGGGTTTTTTAAAGAACTTCGAAGACTCTGTTCATATTTACAGAAATATATTATCTTATCGCTTGATTATAAAAAAGCCATCTAGGTTGTAAACGTCTCGTGTAATATCACTCATTCGATCACGTGTATTGCACTCCACTTCAATAAATACTGTATTAAATAATAAGATTAGTGTAAACCGCATGTATAAATAATACAGTAACAAATATCACGACGCGACGATTTTCGATTTGTCTGTCCTCCGCGACAGATCCAATTGTTTAAATTAAATTTAACTTTGGTTCATGTCGCGGGCACTAGAACGTGCCCGGTTTTTGACTAGGTGGTAGGCATACTATTCGGTCAACATCTCCTCGTTTCTTCTGGAGATTAACTCGTCCAACTTCGCCAAATTTTTGATAATGTAGAAATGTAAACGCACGATTCTTGAGCGGAGAATCCTCGAACGAATCGGCGACATGTCCCGTTACTCCGTTCATGTGCTGTCTGTCATTTTCTCGTCCTCTTTGTCTTCCGGTTGCTCCTGCATCGTGAAGTCGTCGTCCTGAACGTCCTCGTCCGGCATGATCTGCAGATTCTCTACCCGATTCCGCGTCTCCAACGGATTCCCGATCTCGTTTCCATGTTCGTCGAGCTTCACCCATACGTACCTTCCGGGCAGCGGTTCTTCCTTCTCGAAATCGAAGTTCCACCTTTCCTTGGCCTGCACACAACGTAAATAACACGTTACGTATTAGCATAGTATCCCCGAAAACCTCGAAGCAATTCGTTCAATGAAAAATAACTAAACATGTCGGGATTGCATTTATTTTAAATTGCATCCCATTCGGGATGCACATTTAACCCATTCACTGCCAGGCAAATTTAAAGCGTTTTGTCCTGGACACCAAGTTTTTATTTAAAAAAAAACATGGAATTTTGCAAAATCTTTATTTATTATTTATTTCTATATTTAGTTGCAGATATGGTAATAAAATGGCATTTACAGTAATCTGAAACTGAAAAAACATTTGCTGGCATCACTGAATAAAATTGTTCTGCTGAGTGCCGTTTACGAGATATCTTGTAGTGTATTTTTTTTTAATTAGATTTTTCATGTACAAAGAAGATTTCTTTTCGTTTTGTTTGATTTTACAGTGATTGTCTTCTAATTTCATCTGGCGTTGATAACAATCTGCAGTAACAGTTTCACTCAGCTTCAATAACTCATACGAAATTACTCCTTTGAGATCACACCAAACACAAAAAAGATCGTTTTTCCGAAGCGTTGAGGTTTTGCGACCGATGTTGACGATTCACCAGGATTTACCCATGACTTCTGGTGTTTACGATTATCATATTGTATCTTCTTTTCATCACGAGAAAACGGAACATTGATTCGTAAAGAATACAGTGTCGGATATGCACTTTATCTATTTTCATTATTGACTCGAATGATCCGATTATTTTTTGAGATTATGCGTAGACTTCCGTCAAACAGAATACCGTTTCCAATATCAACCAGTCAACACTATATGACCACAATAGGGCAGGAAAATCACTTGGCATTATTGTCAATTTTCTAACCACGCGAGAAAAATTGGATTACTCATTTGTACACCTAAAAAATAATATGAAGTGTAGTGAAGTAAATGGATAAATATTATAGTAAATTATTATTATAAATTAAAATTTTTTCTTTCAGATCATTATGTAAATGAATAATATCAATTTATTTCCTTATCCCAGAAAAATGGATCATGGGGTTGAAACAATATTTTTTAAAGAAGAAGTTTCTGCAAAAAAGGAGGAGTTCTCTGAATATGACAGCGATACTTTTTTAATAGGAAGAGATGAGTGGGAGGCGGAGTCGACATTTGAAAATGAAGATGATATAGCATCTTCTCTAGCAAGACGATTTCGAACATTCCATTTGACTTCATCGAGTGAGCAGTGTCATCGTCCTTCGATGAGACATCAAACAAGCGTCACATATCAAGACGATGCCGATAAATTGACAACTGATAGAGGGGATCCGCCACAGTTTGAGTTTAGAGGAAATCCTGGTTTGATAATTCCAGATGATGTTAAATCGCCGAAATCTTCGATCTGTTTTTAAGAGAAGATTTTTTAAATAAGATCGTTCAAGAAACAAATCGTTATGCTGTTCAAAAAATAGAAAAGTCTCCATTATTACGATCCTTCCGACTACGAGACTGGAAGAATACCAACGCTGAAAGGAATTACGAATTTCCTTTGGTTTGATTATGCAACACCGGTACAGTCAGTTTAGCATATATGGAACATTATTGGAAGAAAAATGAACTCTACAATTTTTCGACTTTTGGAGAAAGGGAATGCCTAGAAATCGTTTTCAGCTAATATTAAGATTTCTACATTTCGGCAATAATAAAGAGCAAATTGATGACCGATTATATAAGATTAATCCCATATCCCGACACTTCAACCTAACTATGAATCGCATTTATAAACCGGAGAGTTAATCGTGTGTTGGTGAAGCAATGGTTCTTTGGCGATGTATGTATAAACAACAAACTGCGTAAGTACGGCATCAAACTTTATGAACTTTGCGAACCTGGAGGAATAGTGTCGAGTAATTTATGCGAGGAAATATGATAACATAAATGGACAAGATCATGCTTCAAATGTTGTTTTGGTTCTGATGGATGGTTTTCTGAAACGGGGTCATGAACTTTATATGGATAATTATTATAATTCAGTTGAACTCGTGATCTTACGAGTAAGTCAACATATGTATGCGGTACATTGAGATTTGATCGAAAGGATAATCCAAAAGATTTGGTTAAGAAGAAACTGAAACGAGCGGAATCTAAATGGCTTAGGTCGGGATCCGTTATGATTAACAAATGGAAAGATAAGACGATTATATCCAACAACATGCATACCGGTAAAATGGTTCAAGTAAAACATCAAAATGAAAAAATTTTTACTAAACCGGATATAGTCAGAGACTATATATATATTCTCGGAATGTCAGCTATCGATAGTGTTATTATATAAAATTTTCGTTCGCCCTTTCTAATAATTCCTAACTTAAATGGCTATAAAGTTATTCCGTGACCAATTGCAATCAATCTCAATTTCTAGCGCATACGGCGAGATATTTCATAGTCGGCAGTGAATGGGTTAATTTATCAGCAACTCGTGAATCCTAATCTTTGAATCACTCGACACATCGGATCAAAAATTAATTTCTTAATCTTCAAAAATGATTACTTTATCTATATGCGATTCTTTTAGTAAGCAACGTGACAATGTTCAAGGAGAAAGGAAAACAGAACTTCAAAAATGAATTTTTTACATTTTTCTACACGTCGTAAGTCATAGTTTGAGTCATTTGATATACTTCAATAAAAATCGGGTTCTTAATATAGAAAAATAATCGTATCATCATCCATGAATGACTCACGAAACAGGCAACGCGATAACGTGCAAAGGAAAAGGAGAACGCTAAACCGATTGCGTGCCCTTACTCAAGGTGGGTTACGTTAACACACTCGATGACGTAAAGGCTACAGCTGATTGCTACAAAATTACGTCAGTTTATGACATAAGATTCATTGGAGTTTAAAACATCTAGTTACAATCTCTATATGTTAAATTGTATGTTTTAGAATTGTATAATATAGATCTATTTTTAATTGGGATTTATAAGACAAGCAAACTAACGGACAGCGAAAGTGTTAACCACTCACGTTCTCCCGATTCTTTCGTGCCTCCTCGAAGAAGCAATTCACAAGATTGTCCTCGACACCAGAGTTTAGACTCGAATCTCCTTCATTTTCCTCTTCATCGTCCTGGAAAAGTCTCCTGCGCACGCTACGGAGTCTGCGACCCCCTTGCTCGTCCATGTTCGGATACTCCATGGTGAGTCGGGCCCTAATGAATTCAATTAATTGTCATTTCCAACCAAATTACTGTGGCAACAAAATTATTTCATGGGAGCGTTTTCTCTCGAGGGAGAGGCTAAAATTATACGGACTGGACTGCGGATCTTTGCGCAGTTTTGACTACCAAGTGGTTTCAAAAAATACCAACATGCAGAGAACAGTTGTTTACTTGTAGAAATGTAGTTGCAGTTTCTTGAAATTTGTTCACAATAGCTTGTATTTAAATCCACGTTCTTAAAATTCTATGAAAGACTACACTTGATTCTGATACGAAAATATAGTGTTGCCAATAAGTAAAGAATCAAATTGACAAAGTATCATGTATTTCTAAGAAACACATTCAATGAAATTCAATCCGTTTGATTGTTACAATTTATTGTTTTAATCATGTCTCAGACTTCTACAATCTATGTATAAACTATTTAAAAAATAAATTTAAAAAATAGAATATACATTATTTCCCTTCTGCAAAGACTATTAATATTTACTAGGTATACATTTGAGGATATGAAAAAGTATCGGTTTAAGTAATCGTCGAATAACAAAAGAATATGAATTTGTTGCTTAATTTTGGGTCAGCTAAACCTATTTTATGCACACGGATTATAATTTCACGTTCCCAAAATTCATCTATAAAAATCGCATATGACTACACTTTTTGAAAAAAATTGTCTACGAACTATTCTGTTTGTTGCACGTCTTCATTCCACGCATTTGGTTACATTTTCTCAGAACTTTTCCGCGAAGGTAGAAGATTACGTGAACATCCGCAGTCCAGCTACAACTGTTAATCACCAGCGAGCCACGTACGATTTAATATACACAGCGATTGGTTGTGGTTTGTAAACAATGCGATATGCATCGAGCGATGCACCGTCGCGCCGTTCTATGCACGTGTATTGGCAGAAGAACGAGACACAGCGACGGAAAGAGAGGCACATATAGCCGAGAGAAAGAGAGAGAGGGGAGTAGAGAAACCCGTAGCTCTCTCGACCAATGTGCCGTTCAACGGATGTATCGGAATGCATTTCACTTCCTGTATGAACGTACCACCGCATACCAGATAATAGTTATTATTCTACATATAGATGAGATGAACTTTCACGCGAGTCCTCGATTAACGATTCAGTGCCTGCCGTGCTTCTTATTATATGTATTAAGATGGTGCATATGAAACAACAGATTATTAAACGAATAGTAAAAGCTTCATAAGCTATCTTGTAAGCTATTTACTTAATCAAAATATGACCCAATTGCTTCCATACGCTTTTCTCAACGAGTTTTATTCTATAAATGTTATTTTCAAAGAAGTTCTGGTCTTTTCATTGGATAAACTAGGCTATGGAGATTTTAATACTATCTTTGTTGGCGATGTGTGTGTTTATTACGTAAAGAGAGTTGTAGAGTTGTAGTTGTGTGCGACAGATTGGGTGAGTAGTGTGGATGTTGTGAAATTTCATACTTTAATTCATTTAATTTTGAAACTATTTTTTGTGACGTATGCGGTCTAGCGATATCATGGAGTAATATTGGCAGAATTCATACTCATACGAAACTCAAAATAAATAAGAAAAATTCAGTACTTTGAAAATTTATTTTAGCAAAACATAAAGCTGGCAATACACAATAAGGCTGTAATAGAGGTTTTACCGTAAACAACGACGTAAAGTAAACAAGGAGACAAATGTTTACGCGTAATAAAAATCTGATATTTCATATGCACCAATCTAATACATAGAAAAAAATCTTGAGCTTCTCGACTTACAGCATTTTTCCCTGATTAATCGTTGAATAATGAGACCGATTCTATTTACTTCTCGATAATAAGAAATTTGTTATTCACGTTACGGCCTTCGAAAACTCCGAAAGCTCTTGCGCCAGCAAGGCCAGTTTATGTTTTCACCGTGCGAAAGCAGGCGACTCTAGGTTGCTTGGCTATGTTGCTCCTTTACCCGATCGGAAACTGGTTTTGTAACTGAACTTTCGCTTCTAGGACACGGACCTAACGTTGCTCCACCGTTGCGGAGTGATTACTACACGGTGCATACAGAAATTAATTGTTGCCGCGTTTGGCCTCGGCAGATTTGGTCTTTAAAGGGTCCTGGGGTCTAGCCAGTTTGCGGAATCACCGATTTTCGACGACGTTCGACGCGTTCGGGCGTGAAACCGGGGTCACAGGCGAATCCGAAAAGCAATTCCGAGCGTAATCAGGATGTGCAGACCCGAGCCACCTTGCGAAACAAAGAATCCGTGCAGAGGAGCGTGCACCTGCTCGAGCCCCACATCCGCCGTTTAAGGTTACACTCCCTTCTGATATCGTGTCATCGTTTTTCCAATCTGCTGCTCCGGCAATAACAACATCGGGGCAGTTACGACTGCGCTAAACATTTCCTCTCGAAATTCGTTACGCGCAAAAAGGAGCAGCTAACCTTTCCGCACACTTTTGAACAGGGCCTCGTTTCTCGGACGCTACGATCGCCGAGACGAGGACATTTTATTCACAAAAGTCAGGACTCACTCACATGTTCGGTGTAACTTTCATTTTTCCACTGGTTGGGAAGCTGATTCGTCGATTATCTCTTGTCACGATGCACAAACACCTGATTGTGAAACACTGGTCACTCCAATGTCATTCTGCAAAACGATCTTCCCTTCTGGTTCGGTAGGAACCGAGTCAACGCTGTCAGACAGCGAAAAGTTAGTGGCTCGAATAGCAACGCGATCGATAATCCCATCGTTTTCGTTGGGGGTGTGGACTACCACTAAGCCACGAGGGGCTACTCCAGTGCGCGCGCATATTGCAATGAGAGATGCTCTTTCATTGCGCATTCGCACGGATATCGATATTTCACGTGCCCGATGCGCCGGTCCCTCTGTTCGTACCTGTCTGTCACTGTGACTGCGATCATTCAACCGGAATCTGCATTTTTCATAGTTCGAAGATTGGGTAATTTGCAAAGATACTTGTACAATCGCATTTCGTCACTGGCGTTCGCAATCTCCGCTTGAATTTTGTGACAATATATTAACTTTGCAAAAATATTTCGTTCACGATGCAGTGTACAGTATATGCTACAACGTAGCTTCAGAATTTGATGTTTGAATGAATGTAAATGTACGTTCGGTGGCTCGATTTTAAATGCATCGAATTGGTTTGTAGTGATCGCAACGTGCGAATAAAATCGCGTCACACAGCTTAACGAAACAATAATAACAGTGGTGAACACGATTTCTGTTATAGAGAATATTTGCACCGATTTTTACATATTTTTTCTCGCCGAATTCGAATCAGGGATCTGTTTCTTTTTTATCACGTATAGTTTTTGTGTAATTCCGATTTGAATCACTGAAACTCGCTTTTTCAAATGATACAGTAATGTTTCAAATTTGTTGTCAAACATTTCAAAATGTTTAATATTTGTTGGCAAATAGAATGTTAATATGCTGGCTGTTTACTACTAGACACTCAAACGGAATATATTCCAAAAGCCAAATATTCCAGAAAATAATGTTTTATACCTTGTAAATATATAGGATTATAGTAATTATTGAATATTAAACTGCAAGCAACTAAAAAAACGGACTGTATGTTTGAATTCAACGTAGGAAATATTATTAAGATCGTACATTAAACCTTGTGTGTGTAGACCAGTCTAATTAGATTTCACGAAAAGAACATGAAAAAAAATAAAACGAGGCTTTCAGGTATAAGCCATGGTGGTGGAAAAAAAAACCAGCTTATATCCGAAAGTCTAGACAGTAAGAACTGCATGACGCCGGGTCGTAAAGTCCTCAAATCTCTGATCAAAATGAAGCGAGTAAAGAAGAATGGAAATAGAAGGAACAGAGAATAAAATGTATGCACCTTACCTTCCCACGATCGACCCAGAAAAAAAGCACTTGTCTCGAATAAGACTATCTGATTACTAGCGGATTCATCCTTGTTTTTTGATTTTGAAAGCGCGTCGGTATCAGCGTCGCAGCAGATAAGTTTCAAAAGCGATCGATATCGTGAAAGTTGCTTGAAATTTGGGAGAGGAAATGATCTCGCCTGAAGTCTGAAAACTCGAGGGAATTGCAAGCTGATCGATGTCCGACCCAAAAACACGAGCTCCCACGTGCACCGGTTGCGTCGCGATAACAGCATCGGCTCGGATGCACGCGCCGCCTAGGTCAGGGAATCAAATTCGAAATGTCGTTGCGTAATGCGTACACTAACCTCGATTTTCGATGATCCTCTTTGTCCCGGTCGCTCTCGAGCATAATCTAATTTTAGATCGGATTCACCGTCGTGTACCGTCGGCCTTGAAACGATGCGATAACTGAAACCGAGCCGTGTCCACTCGAAAACGGACGAGCAAACGTAATAGTACGAATTGGCGAATAGAATCGCGACCGTCCGCGGAGTTGTAAACGGTGCAACGCCTAAACTGCGACTGGCTGCGAAAGGCGTCATAGTTACTTGCATCCCAGGTGCAGTAGACTAGCCTAGATTCGCTTTGCAGACTATTAGTCACGAGCAACAGTGTACAGAGCGGACGCATGCGCGGCCAATGATCATCCGACTGATTCATTTTTTCGTCGCGCATCCCGGAACCCGCGGTTATCATTGTCCGTGTTAACGATACTCAATCGCCCAAGGAAGCGTCCCATCCTCTCCCGGAAACCGATTCAGTTCAAGGAAGTCGCCGATCCCCTGAGGTCCACCCGTTGCGGTCTCGGTTTTGGTTCTGCCGCCACCAATTATCCCCACCGTTTCTTCTGGGAGCATCCCTACGACAATCGCTGTAACGCAAGAATTATTGTGTTCGCGTGACGGGCGCAGCATTGCACTCTATCCCTTTAATGACCTGGTAGCCTCAGAGCGAAGACTTCTTGACGATACGCTTGACTTCGAAGAGGCTAATTGCGCCAAGATCTAATTGCAAAGGATTGCGCTTGGTCGAGAAGATTTTTCTTCACAATGCTGCGGAACAAAGTCCAGTTTTTTATATTTGAGACGATCTTCTAAAATTAGAGCAGAGGAAACAGAACTTTCCACCAGAGGCTCAGACGTTTTTGAAAGAGCAACAACTGAGATATTATTCAGTCGAGCAACCTTCATAGAAATTCACTGCACCGACAATGCACTCGTATAATTGCATCGGTCGTGTCTGTATTTGACGCAAGAGTCCTTCAAACGAATCAACGTTCGAGTATCCTCGTGGACACCGAAGGGAAATACGATAATTTCATTGAATCAATATGGATCTGTTACCGAGGTATCGATAGATCGATTGATCGATGTCGTCATGGCAGCGTATCGAATCAACTTTCTGGAACGATAAACTGATCGATCGATACATATTTGCCGGGTAGAACGTATCGAGCGAATGGATCGGCTGATACCTGAGGAAACGTCGTTCCTTCGCGTCGTCGGGGAGAAAAACTGCAACGTTTCCGTGAGAGCGTGGCCGACATAATGGCGGGAAATAGAACGGCAGGGAATTCTCACATACGAATACGCGTATTCTCTGGAGGATTCTTCGAGGCTTGGAAAAAACCAGCAGCTGGGATTGCTCTTAGACGAGTTCCTCTCTACCTTCTCATTTTCTTTTCCTTCGGAGTTTATGTCCAGATTAGAGATAGAAATCATTGCTGCTATTGTGTATTGCAAAGGGCTTGGTTTTATTGCTTTTGATTGCAGCGAAGATGGAGCACTGCTCAATCGAGCAATCTTTGACTTTAGTTGATTTAATTCCTACAAGTTTGATTTCACTGGCGGCTGAGAAATGTCTACTTGGATTTTCCATATTTTCGGAATTTTGGGGGCTCGAAAGGTTCGTGAATTCCTTGTCCTCAATAGTGGAGAAGCTAAGGTACTGTTCCATAGGGCAATCTTCGTCCGTGAGTACTCTGAATCACGCGTTCCTTTATATTATTATCGTTAGACGGCTGTTCTTTATGCAAAATAAAAATTATCTTCAACAATTGCAACAAACGTGAGTCAAATAGGAATATTTTTCTTCCTTAAATAATCTCAGTGAGTTAAGAATAATAGAACAGTCCTTAAATTCATTTCATACTTTTATTGTTTTAAATGTCGTCAGACCATTTTTATTATAAATCCATAAAATCCGCAGTCAAATCACTTATATTTGATTATCAGCATCAAAGGATTATTTATCTTTTTTAGTTTGGTTTAAATTCCTTTGGAGGGGCATGATTCCGTTGTTTTTGACTTCTACTAAACCAGAGCACTGCTGCACAGTGCACTGCTTACGGCTCCCTTAGATCTTTCAAGCTTGATAGTATCAACGACAGAAGAATATTTATCTTGTCTTTCGTATAAATTGCTCTCGGTGATGTGGCTTATTGCTCTTAGTTGCATCGGAACCAGTCCAATGCTTTACAGGGCAATTCTTGCCCATGCCCGTCTACGACCTCTTTCACGCATCGTTCCACAGCGTAACTTCCGCGGAAACGAACCAACCAAATCGCGCATAATTCTCGATTTGTCGAGAATTCTACCTCGAAGATCTCCACGCACAATCAACGCTACAATCTCCAAGAGGCCTCGGGCAGCTAGTTCGCGGCCGATCGCATCGATCACTCAGGTTTCCTCGACGACAGCTGATATTCGAAATTTGTCGGTCGACCCCTACTCTCCGGTTTCGATGTTCTTCGACAGAGAAAAAACGTTTGAAAGGGTGGGCACATGCTGTACCGCTTTTTCTGCGTTTCCGGAATTTATATGGTCCCTGTAGCTGATCGACTGATGCTTCTCTTCGTGAATTTTTTAGCGCGTTTGGTAACCTGTCTGCTAATCTTCATGGATTTATTCAAAAGTAATAAAGTTGCAGACTGTTGATGCACCAATTAATTAATGGATTTAATGCGTGGACCTTTAACGCGTTGATTGCCACACCGCAGCTAATAAAAGCCGTGCAAAAACAGAACAATTTATTTCATGTCATGAGAATCGAGGAGACAAGATTTATTACATCAGTTATTTCTGTAAACCTCTTGCGTTTTATAGATTCTAACAAACTTTCATTTTTTCGTTAGACCGTAGTAAAATATGTGCTTCTAGCGTGATGAAAAAATTGTCACCCACGTATAGCCGACGTGGCAGTAAAAGTGTTAAATTTGTTAAAATCCTTAGCGGGAATTTAGTCTGCCTTCGTACGAAAAATTTTATTTTATACACGCAGTGTAATGATTAGACTGCGGATTTGATGTATTTATAATAAACGTGAGTGGATCGAATGTCAATTAGCAAAAACATTTGAACACCTTGAAAATATCATTGCATTACTGTTCACCGATTAAAAATCATTAAGAATAGAAATAAATGTCCATGTAGTTATTTTGCATAAAGATCCGCAGTCTAGTAACGATTGAATGAACTGTAAACAATTTAATTATCCTTTTGGAAGGTGCCTCAAGGCAGTGAAATAATAAGAACGCGTCTGGTTGCTACCTAGTTGTAATTATTCCGCTCGTATCACTCGCCAAGTTGGCATCTGTCACGAAGAATTTCTCTTGCTGTCGTAAGATTAATTCACAGTTCCACGCAGTGTCTATCATTCGCATTCCCCTTTCCACGATTTTGATTTCTATGAACCGCCCCTGGTCGCTCCACTATCCCGTAGATCGATCGGAGTTGAAAAGATCACCGGGTAGGAGAGGAGCATTTGGAAAGCATCCAGGTTGAAGTTCGCAGACAGTAAGCAAAGTTCGTAGCGTACGAGCTCGAACGTTTAGTGTGTGTGACCGGCATGAACGTGTCAGTCGACGAGCTCGCCTGATTAATATTAACGCTAGAGCACCGAACCGTTACTAACCAAAAGGAACCGCGACCGTAATCCTGCGATGTTACTTTTACCACCGGGACTTCTGTTCGAATCGATGCCAAACGGTGCAGAGGATCGAACGATTTCCTTTCGACGACGCTTGTCCCGGTGCACACGAGCACACACATAGCTGCACCACTATCGACTCAAGGCATTCGCCGTTTCGAAACTGGATTTCGCAGAGCGACGGGAAAGCCAACGGGGCTGCCCGATATCGAGCAATTGCTATTACCTTGAACACGTCCTTGCCTCGGTTCGTTATCGCAGTCATGAAACTTGCATAGCTTTCTTAGCACCGTTCGTCGCCGTATCGCATATTTATCGTCGATCGAATCGAGACGCGGTAGATATCGGATCCGGGTATTGTTGTAACAGTTCCGAAGAAAATTGATACGACGCCCGTCGAGGTTCCGCAGCCACTTGATCAAACACCGAATCGAAAATCGCTTATCGATCGTTGGATGCGCACTGCAAATTTACTCGGTATTATTCCGAGGTTAATCGGTTCTCGTTGATTACAATAATTAAATATTGATTAGCCTTGAAACACCTGTGTGAATTATTTCCGTCAGAGATATTGAACAGTCTAAGACATTGAAAATTCTCTTGAAAATGATCGAAGTACGTTTGTCGAAATTATTAATGTTATTTAAACGATTTCTCGGTACTTTGAATATTTCTGAATCAAATATATGCGAACTTTATGCATAAATACATAA